CCTACTGGAGATTGCACTGTCACCATTTCACCAACAACAGTGAAGTTTAAGTAACATGGCTAGTATGAGCAAATTGACTTACTTGAGATAGAGATGCAGGCATACACCACCAACTACCATCTTGTTGAATCCATGCCTAACAGAGCCTTCGGCTGCTTGTCGAATATTACGTTTTTTTGATCAGTCCGCCATTGTCTTTTTTTCTCTCTCTTTATACTATAAAACTGCTAATGCAGCTGCTTCCCCAAAAGTAAAGCTACCTCCTCCTTTTTTGCCCTCAAATTATGAGTGGTGGGTTCCCATTGGCTAACCCCCTTTTGTCATGGATGAATACACGGCGCCTCATCCTTGTGTAATTGGGAACTTCATTCGCTCCAGTGGCCTAGTAAAGCGATCCGTCTGATGTGCGTTTACGCAGTGATGCCGACTAAGTACATTCTTGACCTAGTTACACAGGCTATGTGTTGCCATCCTTACCCTGATTGTTGTGAAAACTCTTAACATTCGTTGTAACATTTGGGCAAATGCCTCAAATTTCCCTTTTTGAAATTTGTGGCATAACAGGTGGTATAGGCTGTTTCAGAATCAACTGTACACTGAGCTGGGCAAGACATGACTCAGTTTATCTCTATAGAAGAAGAAGAGATTTCATTTTAAGTACTTTTCAGGAGTAATTCCTGTTAGCGGCAGACAGAAGTTGTACATTTTTGTGCCTGTGAAAGGAGGCATGTTTCACAGAAAATGTTATTTTCACTGTCATAAATCTGACCGACACTTTGCACCTATACATGAGGAAATGGTGCTTAACTTTGAAAATATTCAAGGATTTGTGGCATTTGTTTATGAAGTGTTTTGGTGGTTGGTTTGTATACTATCTAAAATGAAAGCAGCCAGGGAGTGAAAATCACCTGTTTTCACCTTCACGGTTCTTCTCTAGCATGCATTTTTTCCATCTTGTTCATGTTGTTTCTGGATTCATCAGTCAGGAATGTTAACAAAGGTGAATCTGGGGATCACATGAAGGTGCACGTGTGACTTGACAGGTAGTGAAAACATGACAAAAAACCCAATGAACATCTTGAAGTCAATGAAATCAGCTTCAGGACGTTTTAACATGAATAGCAGTTATATTAATTCTTAAAACTCTATTTATAAAATGCCTTTTGTTTTTAAGTTGAATTCTTAAACTCTGTTTATAACATGCATTTCATACAGTAATGAAAAAAGGAAAGCCATACTTTTCTCTTCATAGATAGCTGTAGAATTTTGTGCTGTCTGATCCCCTAGCATTCCCAACTTAAAATAAAGTTACATGTTACAACTTAATTATGTGCATAAAGAAATACATATTTATAAATTTAAGGCTAGTATTTTGAGACCTCAGAAATGTATTCCTTCAGGCATAGTATGCTGAGACTTCGGAAGGATTATTCAATTTCCGTTAAAGTCAGATTAATTTGAGCTTTGTACTTTGATTAGGGGTAATGTTGGAGCAATTTAAGAACAGTAAATCTTATCCTAAAATTGTGTTGTTTTTAGAGCTGGAAATATGAATAAATCAGCAACCATTACACGTAAAGGTTTAAAAAACTGGTGTGGTAACTTACCTCTGTGATTGGTTGTACATGATGCCCATTTAAAATACAAATTGATATTCAGCAGGAAAGGTAAGATGGAATGAATGAGTTACTTGCATAGTTACAGACGTTATGGCTTTCCTTTGTGATATCATGAATATGGAACTGCATCCACAACTTTCCTGCTTTAGTACAGAAGTGGCATCGCATATATTTTTATGATTTTTTTTTTTTTGAATTTAGTCTGTACATGAAAGAAGAGATCCTGTATAAGACTAGCAATGTACGAATGATCAAGAGCAATCACTTACTAGCATTATACAGGATGATTCATGACTTACTCTCCTAACTTAGGAGCTTATCCCCAGGACCGTTCTTAGTTGGGAAAGTCATACAAACAGGTATGATTCGCAATAGTTATGGAGCAATGGGTATTTGAAATTCTGCACTCGTTTGGATGTGACATTAATTTTATGTTGGCATATGATTGCATGGACTGCCTCTGTGGTCTTATGGTCAGAGTTTCTGGCTACAGATCCAGAGATCCTGGGCTTGACTCCCAGAGCTACTGGATTTTGTGAGAAGTAGTGGTTCTGGAACGGGGTCCACTCAGCCTCGTGAGGATAATTGAGGAGCTCTTTCAAGGAAATAGCTGCTCCAGTCTAGAAAACCGAGATTAACGGCCATGGGGATCCATTGTGCTGACCACTTGACACCCTCTATCCGCAAAAGTTGACACTAACTTCGCTGACAAGCAGCAGTTGCTCGGTTGGTATAGTTCACTTGCAGATTACAGGCCATGGAGTTATGATTGCATGACCTTGAACTGTACCACCAGATGTGGAGGTATGACTTATAGCGTGCTGTTTATGTTTTGTATGTAATTATGCCTTTTATAGTTTCAAATGCTGAATATGAAAATATGTTGTACATGTACATATACAGATTTTGCATTGGGAATACATATGTCTTTGAATACCAGCAGCAGTTTTCAGATGGAAGAATTCTGAATTGTTATTTAGCAACATCTTCCAGAGACTGGGATATAGTGGTTTATTTGATAGCACTTTAATGCAGCAGAATGTCTCATGTGGTAGAATATGCCAGAAGATTATAAGTAGAGTCCTGATATTAGCATGTGAAGGATTTCCAGGCATCTTCATGTTCCCCAGAAGAGAGTATGGAGAATCTTATAAGGACATGCGTCCATGCCGTGTACACTGCAGTCAGCATCTTGAACCGGGGGTTCATGCCCAGTGGCTGGAATTTTATACTGATATGTTGGGATTTTGGACTTTATCCATCATCCTGGTTTTTAAGATAACAAATAAAAACACGACGTTTCGGAAACTGGATCTGTTTCCGTCCTCAGGTGAAGGAAAACACCTATTCAGTTGGGTCCCTTAGCTAGCTAAGCTAGCTAGCTCTTTCTAAGGCTATAAGTAACTTGAAAAAAGCAAGAACTGAAAGAATTAAGTATAGAAATTTAGAGATTACATAATTTAGGCAAAAAATAAAATTGTCTTTTCGGTCTTATTTTCTTGTCACCAAGCCTGTAAGAAAGAATGGGTTTCTGTAAATTTTGATACAAGTTTTATGCATGAAGAGCTTTGTGGTCTGGAACTATATAACATTATGTAAAACAGCATGCATACCTTTTTGCAGTTAGCACGTGTGTTTAAGGAAACATTCTCCATGCAGCCTCTTGTTGCATCTGGTGCATACTGTTCTGGCTGTCTTCCTCCTCTCTTTTGTGCTGCATTGCGACTCTTTCTCTTGGGGAGTTTTCTGAGTCCTTGTGGTCCCTGAGGATCGTTTGTCCCAGCATTGTCCTTCAGCAGCAACCTCCTCCCCCAAGCTCTTGATTATGGACACAGTGTAGTTCTACTTGGATTTCAGTTTGCCTGGTCCCCTGTAGTTTTCCTTGTAGAGAATGTACTTGTCAACACCATTCTGGCTATGATGTTGAAAGCTACCTTTTTCCCATAATGCACTCTCTGCCTTTCATTCAAATAAATGTACAGCATCATGTCTGAAAAGTCGATGCTGCCCCAGCAAACTTCTGTGGATTACAGGCGGGAAACTAGTTCTGGTTGAACATGAAGGATGTGACGATTTCTGCTTTTATTTGTTGATTGCCACCATGTCTTCCCTATACTTCTTCTGGGCCTGTGGCATGGCTGGAGATAAGAATAACAGATTTTTTTTGTGATTTCTTAATGTGGAAAACACATACAAGAAGGGGACCACATCTGCAATACATTTTTTGTCCAACTGCAGATTTGTTCTTCAACTGCTGGGGTAAAAGTTTCCTATTCCTCCTAACAGCTTAGCTGATGGAGATGACAGACAAGTGGAACAGACATGAAATAGTTTTTGACGAAGACAGGGTAGCCTTTGTTGAGGTACCTTCCAATCTCAAGCAGTTTTTTCACAACAGTGTACCCCAGGCCATTCTTTTTATGTCCTTGTCTTCCTCAGACCTGGCACCTCTGTATGCAGAGAACCCCAGGCAGTAGTTGAACACATAGTCATGCAACATCCAAAATCTGATTCCCCAGTGGTGGTGGTACTTGTTGGGCAAATACTGCATGAGACTGGTTTTGTTTTTGGTACCTACCATGCTTTCATAGATGCTGATTTCTTGATGAGTGGTGTAGTGATGCCTGAATACCCTGTTTGCATGGCCCACAAGGGGTTGCTACCTTGCACAGGGGTAACGTTCCATTAATGATAAATCCCTGAATGCTGAGAATCAGACCTGTGTTTATATGACATTTCTTGCTGGGAGTGATTTGGGTATAAGCTCCTGAAGATCAGGTTGTGAGTCATCCTGTGAGAAAAAAATATGTTGCCATTAATATTTTGTTTTGACAGCATCATAGGCTGTTATAAATTCATGTCAGTTATACAAGAATATGAGGAATTTGGGAGGACTGCACAGGCAATTCAGGGAAATCTGACTGAATCTCTAGTTGTAGGCAAAGTCTGTACAGTCAGGGAAGACAAGGAATACCTGTTGAAGACACACCAGAATAAGGACTGAATAGAAATCGGGACTTCCTCATGTATTGTCTGTTCCACAATATGAGAAATACCACATTACTAAAAGACATGGCTAATGGAAATCTGGTTTGAGTATCACACCCTAAGAAACTACCAGGAAGTGTAAGTTTCCTTTATTTCTGTATATGTATTAAATTATGATACTACAAGTACAAATTATGGCAAAATAAACTTCCTTGACCATATATTGGAAAAGTTTCAATTTAGGACTTAGGGTTTGGTAACAGGCAGTGAGTGACTTATACGCATGAAATGTGTTCAGTGGTGTATAAATACCAGGGATTAAATTACATGTTTCAGTGGTGGTATGTTAATATGGAGGCCATATCAAAAGTAATATTTAATTTATTGTTACAGGAATGCCTTGGGTGCTTCAGAACATGGGCTAATATCACAGCAAGGAAAGACATGTGAGGCAAGTTAAAATAATAAGGAAAATTCTAATGTTACACCATCACTCACTCACTCACTCATGGAGCTGAGCCCTTCTTGAAAAGCTGCCAATTGTGCAGCTACTCAAGAACTTCCTAGCATATTATCGAACCTGAAGGTTCATTACCATGTTCACAAGAGCCCTCCACTGGTCCCTATCCTGAGCCTGATCAATCCAATTCATACCATCCCATCCTATCTCTCTAAGATCCATTTTACTGTTGTCAACACACCTATGCCTATGCCTTGGTCTTCCCAGTGATCTCTATCCATCTGGCCTTTCCACCTATATCCTATATGCATTCCTCCTCTCCATCCATGCTACATGCCCTGCCCATCTCATCCTCCTTGACTTGATCGTTCTAATTATATTTGGAGAAGAATACAAGTTATGAAGCTGCTCATTATGAAGTCTTCTCTAGCCTCCTGTCATTTCATCTCTCTTTGATCCAAATATTCTCCTCAACACCCTGTTCTCAAACACCCTCAGTCTGTGTTCCTCCCTTAATGTCAGAAACCAAATTTCACACCCATACAGAACCAGAGGCAAAATTATAGTTTTCTGTATTTTAATTTTTATGTTTTTAGGCAGCAGACAAGAAGACAAAAGGTTTTGGACTGAAAGGTAGCAAGCGTTACCCAAGTTCAATCTCCTCTTAATTTCTTCCTGGCTCAAGTTTTATGCACTGCACATAAACACTTTCAAATCTGACAGTACTGCATTTGATGCAACAATATTAAATATCTTACACGAAACTCTAAATTATGCCTTCCATTTGAGAGTTTTGGAAGTTTGACTTATGCTGGAATTTTGATAAAGAGCACGCTGAAGCAATTGTGGTTTTTATAAGGTTTCAGCTTATTTTCTTCATAAATTAGGTTTTGTAAGTGTTTACATCAGTATGATATGAATCCAGTAACTCTTATTAAGTCTTCAGTTTTATTCTCAAATACAGCTCTCATAATTTTGATTAATTGCCACCCATTTAGAGAGTGTATTCTCCAAAATAATAGAGTATAGTCCAGGTTTAAAAGTGAGTCTGTCAGGAGACTTTGATTCTTATTAACATGGCAGAAATTTAATGTTTGATGTCCAGAGTTTCTGATTGTTCTTTTTACATGTTTACTTAAGTGTAAGAAATTGAATGAGTATCATTAGAGCTGAGCCAATAAAGGGCCATTTCCTAGTAGAATGGTTCTGTGATTCTCTTCAAGAGGTACTTTGCATTTTCCTTAAAGTTAATGCAGATGGAGCATGTAGCTAATTACTTATCTTGTAGATATGTTGTTTGTTTCATAAATTATGTAATGGTTTCTTACTTGCACAAATAATGCATACATTGTCACATACTTTCATTTCATGCACTCTGTTCACATTTATGACATGGTGCTTAGGAAGGATTAAAGTTTTACCTTTGTCTTAAAAGGAAATGTAATGTGCTTATTTCAGGATGATCAAGTTAAATCTAACAAAGGCAACTCTGTTCCACAAAGCATGGTAGGAGCTGCAGAAATGCATGATGGAAGGTAATTATCTTTCATAGTCTTTTTTGAATTTGTGATGTGCTTTAAATTTTCTGTACTTCGTACATCCCTGAGCAAGCAGGTGTGGGTGACATATATGGGGAAGGAGAGAAAACTCAGTGTGAATCTTCATCAGGAAACCAACTGTTCTAAGAGAGAAATTATATGGTGCCTTCACATAGTCTGTATTTACTACTTCTATCTGAGTCCTTCCAAAGACATCACAGTCCACACACTTAATTTAATTATCCTGTTATCAGTTGATATAGAATGATTAATCTCTGAATCAGTGTTATATCATTGAATGATGAAAAAATATTTGTTTCTTTTTCACCATCTATTTTTTAAAGTTATTTGCATGCGTTGTTTCCCAGTGTTGAATTGGAACATATGGAAGTAGAAAATATACCAACAGTATGTACTGAAAATTTTAGTCAGTGGGGGGCTGGTATTTTGTAATTAAGATTTTCATGAATGGTATGTTCTTATAGCAAAGATGTGAAAGTTAAGTGCATTACAATTGGTTTGAAATGTTATTTTTGTTACTTCATACATGGATCGAATGATAAGTAAGAATCAGTGTTCAATCTATCTCTGCTTTATTAAGACTGACTTCTGATACACAAGGGTGTTTTATATATATTCACACATATAACTATGGTAACACACAACAATAGAGAGATTCTGTTTTTACACACATAACAGTAGAGAAATTAGGAACAGCGCATGTAGTGCAGTCTGTTATTAAAATTGTTTACTACAACATTGCCACCTATAGCATTATATTTTAACATTAGAGAGTTGCCAACATAACACTCCCCCTTAAACAATTTTGGGAGTTTAAAAAATACTTATTCATTAATCAGTATAAAAATTATTATTATTATTTAGAACATCATTTGGAAACATTCTTAGCACAATCCAAGTGAATTAATAAAATCAATATGTTTCCATACATTTAAACCTTTTGTCAACTATCAGCAACTAATTGATTTCCAGGAATGTAATTTACAATTGTAATGTATTTACAATTGAGTTCACAGGTAACAAATTTGTAGACAATTTTGGTACATGCAATACATCTGAGATATGGCTAAAATTGTCATTCACAAGTTTTACATCACCAAAACCTGCACTAGTTAACACGTTATCATCAGCAAGACTTATCTCATGTTCCTTAGAATCATATGTTTTATAATTTTGCAAAACAGTCTTATTTCCGGTCATATGGTGTGAAGCACCAGAGTCTATTACCCACGTATCATCCTTAATTTTAACATGATAGGCAGATACCACATACATGGATTTTTTACTGGTCTTATTTTTCCATTTATTTTCATTATACCTTTGATCGGATCCTTCTTTATTTTCATCAGTACTATTAACTGATTTAGAAGACTGATTGCCCTTAAATTTTTGGTTGTGTTGATTGTTGTGAATATTATTATTTGCCTTATCCATATCTTTAAACCAACAGTTTTTGTTTATATGGCCTAGCTTACCACAAATTTGACATTTTGATGGTTTACGTTTAACCTTATCTCTGGAAAGAAAGGCTGAATCTGAATTTGAATTTTTACCAAATTCAGTATCTTGCAATAGCTTAGATTTAATGAGCTCAATGTCAAAGTTACGTTGGAATTTTCAAGTGCCGTACGCATGGGATAATACGCTTTAGTTAAACCCTTTAACATTAAAGCGGTTAATACCTCATCTTCTATTTTCTTGCCTATTGAGACTAATCTACGATTTATTGACATGAAGGCATTAACATATTCCTGCATACTTTTATAGTCCTCAAGTCTCAAAAGCACAAATCAGTTAAAATACTTATCCAAATATTGACATCCTGATCTTTGAATGTTCTTTCCAGCGTGTCACAGGCTTCCTTTGCTGTAGTTGTCTGGACAATGTAAGATTTAACTTGGGGCTCCAATGTCGGACAAATGATGGCTCTGGCTTTCTCGTCCTTTTGTTTCTTGAGGGATGCAGGAGTTGTATCTTCAGCAGCATATCCACTGACTGCTGCCCACACAGTTTCAAACACTAGACCATTTTGAATATCAAAGCACCATTCTCTATAATTTTCGCATCCTTTGAGCTTATCAGTATTCGCGAAGGGCTTTGAAGTGGCCATGATGAAACTTGTCTCTTTGTCTTGGTGGTGGCATCAGTCCAAGGGATCACTTTTAAATAACATTTTCACTTTTTACTATTTATACTTATCAATAATATGATTTTGGGCCCAACCTGTTATTTTTTTTACTTCCTACGTGGATCGAATGATAAGTAAGAATCAGTGTTCAGTCTATCCCTGCTTTATTAAGACTCACTTCTGATACACAAAGACGTTTTATATATAGTCACACACATAACTATGGTAACACACAGCAATAGAGAGATTCTATTTTTACACACATAACAGTAGAGAAATTAGGAACAGCGCATGTAGCGCAGTCTGTTATTAAAATTGTTTACTACAACATTGCCACCTATAGCATTATATTTTAACATTAGAGAGTTGCCAACATAACAAGAAATGCAGTCCATTTCAGGGAAGCAAGAAATGTGTGGAATTTTGTAGGGGAACCTCTTGAATAGTGGCCAACTGGAAGGTATAATAATATATAAATGGATATTGAGGCTGCGATTTGCATTGAACTGACTTCAGATCAGTCTGATTGTGGACTTCGGTTGGTAGTGGTGGTAAACTTTTGGCTTTATTTCCCAAACACAGTAAAATTTGCTTATAACAGAATTCCACGGGACCCAACGACTTTATACTTCAGACAGCTTTCTGTTTAATACAAGTAAAGTGCAGCCTCATTACGAGAATTTATACATTTTTTAAAAATGCTCATTTCAAAGGAAACAGAAGGTGATTGAAACGGGTAAACTGCAGTTCTGTACAATATAGCATCAAGGATTGAATAATAATGCAGGTACCATAATGTTTTTCTTCTTTGGATAGATTGTCATGAGGATTTGAATATATCTGTGAATAATTGAACACGCTCATTGTTGGTAGCATTATCTGAATCATAGAGCTTTCCTTAAAATATGTAACCTCCTGATACATGAACACATCCATTAACCACATTGAGCAGAATGCTCAGTGCCATCGAAAAACCACTGTCCAAGTAACAGAATGTTCTCCAAAAGCCTCACAAAACATTTCAAGGGTTTAAGTAGCAGATTTACTGAACTTTGCGCAAAACATGATGCAGACATGTTGCTCAATTTTGCCATACATCACAGGCAAAATGAAACACAAAGTTGAAAAGCACTTGTATAAAAACAGTGCATGTTCACAGTGCAGTGTCACGTGGCGGACTGATGCAATACATTTGTGGAAGTGTGACCTTGGCCTCCCCTTTCATTTTCTTTCACTGAGGCAGTTACAACAATAACGGCCTAGGAACTTTCTGTTAGCACCTTGTAAAATGGTTCATTCCTGTAGACCTGACGAATGGCAGGATCAACTCAGCCTGAATCCTCCCATCCTACTTCTTTAAGATTCATTTTAACATCCTCCCATTTAAGCTTAGGCTTTTGTAGCGGACTCCTTTCTGCAGATTTTTCTGCAAGAATTTTTTTCACATTGTATGTCCTATGACTTGATCATTCTAATAACATGTGGTGAAGAATATAAATTGTGAAGCTCCTCATTATGCAGTTTTCCCAGCCTTCTGTTGCTTCAATACCTCTGATGTTCAAATATTCTTCTCAGCACCCTATTTTCAAACACCCCTAGTCTGTGTTCTTCCCAAAATATGAGACCAAATTTTAAACCCATGGTAAACTACAGGCAAAATTATAGTTTATCTTTACAGTTTTAGACAGCAGATAAAAATACAAAGGATTCTAAACTGAATGGTCACACGCATTCCCTGAGTTCAGTCAACTTATAATTTCTTCATCTATTTACATCCTCTGGTGAAAGGTTGGGGAGGCACAGGCTCACTTGTGTCTGAGAGATAGAGCTCATCTCACTCACTAGACAACGTGTGGTGTCAGGTTGTCTAGTGATTGAGATTAGCTCTGTGTAATAGACCCAGCTGAGAAAGCTCCCTCACATTTGTTCATTATCGGAAGGAAACATACAGTTTCTAAAACATTATGTTCTTGGAATGTCTGGAAACTTAGTAATTCCAAATGAAACTCAAGAATGGTTGTATGACAACTAGTAAGAGTCAGCACATAAAAGTATTACAGTAGAACTGAGTGTTGAGACTATCTTCACATTGGACCCAGTTCAGTATGTGTGTGGCTTGCAAAGTTGTAGAAGCTTCCCTGACTACATTGTTATTAAGTTTAGATCTAAATTGCAGTTAGCTTGGCTGTGGAGTTGGTTGTGTAGAAAGAAGGTAAAATCTAATTACGTTTTGTCATATTGGGATGATAATGGGGGCATTGGAAGCTAATTTCTTCTGGTTAGGTGTATGAAGGATTAGCTGTGGTTGCAAATGTACTTTACCAGCAGACTTCTTTGTTAATTCACAAAATAAGGGTAGAAATTGGTCTCAAAGTACAGGCCCTCTGTGTGACCCATAGAGGGTATTTTAGCTTATAATGGAATCAGAACTATAGTTCTGTCAAGGAACATACTGTGCTTGTTTTGTATTGTGTATTTTTTTAATACTGTTCCAGTCAACAGACTGCTCCTCAAACAATAGAAGAACCTCTGGCTGGGCCTTCGACTAGTGGAGTTGAGAAAATGATACCTGAAATTTCGCAGAATGATATCAAGCCTGTTGGAATGCATAAGTCTAGCAGTATTGGACTTAAAAGAACCATTGGCAAGTTTATATGTAAACACTGTGGCAATATCTTTGAGACATTTGTAGAATTTGAAGTCCATGTTAAAACACACATTAGTGAGAAACCATTTACTTGTCCATGTGGTAGAAGCTACATGCACAAAGGACATCTCAAGGAACATATGTTAACTCACACTGACCGGAAGCCACATATATGCTCAGAGTGTGGTAAGAGTTTCGCACACAAGGGAGACCTTACCATACACATGAGAATTCACACTGGTGAAAAGCCGTACTCATGCACAGAATGCGGGAAGAGTTTTGTTCAAGGAGGACAATTAAAAATGCATATGAGGACACACACAGGTGAAAAACCATATAGTTGTTCTGTTTGTGGTAAAAGTTTTGTGCAGAAGCATAACATGTTAGATCACATGTTCCTACATACTGGAGAAAAGCCATATAGTTGTACTTTATGTGGTAGAAGTTTTGTTCAAGGATGTCATCTGAAAGATCACATGAAGACTCATAGTGGGGAGAAACCACATTCATGTAGTTTTTGTGGAAAAAGTTTCTTGCAAAATAGTGATTTGAGGGTTCATGTGAGGGGACATACAGGTGAGAAACCGTTTAGCTGTACTCAGTGTGGGAAGAATTTTGCTCGCAGTGGGGTTCTGAAGCGGCACATGCTGACTCATACTGGGGAAAAACCATACAAGTGCTCCCTTTGTGGTAAACAATATACCCAAAGCAGCAAGCTTAAGCGCCACATGATGATATTGCATAATAAGAAGGAAATTACTTCTGAGACTCCGAAGGTTATTCTTCTGCCCAGTTTGTGCAACAGAGAAGAAATACAGCATGAAGATAGTAATGGAGAGAGTGTAATCCCTGATAGGAAAGATAGCATAAGTAAAGAATGTATATTGCCTCATTGACATTATAATTTATTCAGCAGTGTGTTAAGAAGCAAACAGTAATGGCCCATTTATTAGGATGTGTGCCTTGTTATTAGGTTTTTATTCCATATGTGTTATGTTATTTTATATCAGTATTTGATCATAGAGAACAGTTGGGATAGCATATTCAGTATAGCAGCTAGCAATGGGCTGGACAACTGAGGGGTCGGAGTTCAAGTCCCAGTAGGGTCAAGAATTTTCTCTTCTTCACATTGTTCAGACCAGCTCTGGGGTCCACCCAACCTCCTCTCCAATGGGTACCAGGGGCTCTTTCCCCGGTGGGTAAAGTGGCCAGGACGTGAAGCTGACCACACCTCCAGCTAGTGCCAAGGTCAAGAAAATGTGGATCTGTGTTCCACCCCCTCATATGCCTTCATGGCATAGTGCTTAATTAGTTAAGCACAGGAACAACTTTACCTTTATTTGATTATAGAAATGTGTTCTAATGAGTAGACTGAACTGAGAGAAATCTTTCTGTGTCTTACACATATTAATTCATGTGATACTGTGAATAAACTTATATAATATTAATAATTTTACTGATTTTACCCATGACATGATTCTCTCCTATTTCTGGGTCATCTTCAGGTGACATAAACTCTTAAACATCAATTATCTGAATCCTCATTCCATACATTCTAATGGAACATGGGTACCTGGGTCATAAGTGTTATCCAGTTGGATATTTATCAAATGGTCAGATAGTGAAATATGTAAGTATAAATGTGAGAACATGGAAAGCAATAAAGTTACTTAAAATGTAATGCACCATAAGTGTGAGAATGTGGATAAGATGTCTATAAATACACCTGGGGTGCATACTTTGTGTATACATATTGTTCATTTGTTGTTTCATTTCCTGTTTAATGGGCGTGAAATTATTATAATATTTTCACAAATCTACACATTGCAAATCACTACTGCAAGCACCAAGTCATCTGTATCTTCACTAGTCATTATGTGGTAGCCGTTTTTAACAGTGCAACTCAAGGCTGTAGACTGGTAACTGCTGACTCATGATGTGCATGGCCTATTGTTCCTTGTTATATAGCCTTGACACTGAAAACGCTGCTTCCAAGTATATCTCCATTGTTGAGTGATGAGTTAAGGGGTCTGTTGTGTAGCGATGACCTGGGTATTATTGATGTGGGAGTGTGTTTTGGTTGCTATGGAAATGTTTGCTGCCCATTGCCTAGCAGTGAATGCCTTCTCTGAGATTGCTGCTCCATCTTTCAACCATCATGTCACAATATTAACACTTTGCGGACTGGTGGCATATTATTATGACTTTAGGACACGTTATGTTGAAACACACTATACCTTGCACTGGCACCAGGCAGATGCATGACTGGTGCATGATAGACTGCTTGAATGTTTGCTTCGTAGTCAGTAATATGACCCCGCTGTTTATGACCCAACTGTTTTCCTTTCTCACTCCAAAAGAAAATGCCTTTGTTCATCTTCCAGCTGCATGCACCAGGCAGGAAGTTACTAGTGCAAAATGGATCAAGGTTGGAAGAGGTTGAGGTACGTTTTCTCGGAAAACAAGAAGTATCTGACTTGTTCTCCGACAAGTGTGATAGTGACTCTGATAGTGAGGGTGGCAGGGGTGAACAAAAATTGTGGCCACAGACAGTGAACATGTTTCCACCCAGTCTAGTGATTCATGAGGAATATGCTGATTATGGCAAAGTTAATACTGACAGTTTTTATGTTCAGTATATTGGTTGAATTCTAAGTGATATATTGAAGTGATAGTGACTCTGATAGTGTGGCAGGGGCGAACAAAAAATTGTGGCCACAGACAGTGAACATGTTTCCACCCAGACTGGTGATTCATGAGGAATATGCTGCTTATGGCAAAGTTAAGAGTCCACAACCTCAGTTTTTATGATAATTGTGAAGAGTGAACATGCCAAAGGGAAGCAACTTATTCTTTGATGACTGTGATAGTGAGTGTGGCATGGGCGAACAAAAAATTGTGGCCACAGACAGTGAACATGTTTCCATGCAGACTGGTGATTCATGAGGAATATGCTGATTATGGCAAAGTTAAGAGTTCACAACCTCAGTTTTTATGATAATCGTGAAGAGTGAACATGCCAAGGGGAAGCATCCTCCTAGGCAGTGCTGTGTTTGCGCAGTAAACAACAAAAGGAGCATGACTGTCTACATGTGCAGTTTCTGTGTAATGCCACTTCACAAAGGGGAATGTTTCCAGAAATATCACACTCTCAAGCACTTCTAGGAGCATTGGTAAGTGTTCTCCAAAAATTTTAGTTCATAAAATTAATTAGGAGATTTTATATTAAATTTTAAAGTGAGCAGTGCACAAGTTAGGTAGTAGGTTTAAAAATGCTGGTCCCCAGGGTGATTTAAATATTTAAATTGCTGGTCCGCGAAGTGTTAAAATAACATTAAAGTAACACATATGAACTTTGTGAGTCTGTGTTATCATTGTAGCTTTGGTGACATGCCTAATGGTGCTTGTTGCTAGTCATCATATTTTGGTGTTGACTTTTGAAACTTTCTGTGTAGTGATTTAGTATCCCTTATGGTAGATATAGTTGATAGCTCAGTTGATGTAGTGCAGGGGTACAGACTGGATTATCGTGGTTTGATTCATGACAGGGCAAGAGATTTTTCTGTACTCCACAGCATCCAGATGGGCTCTGGGGCCCACCCATCCTCATATTCAGTGGATACTGGGGAATGTTTCCACTGGGATAAAATGGCTGGGGCATGAAGCTGACCACTCATCTCCATCTAGTGCTGAGGTCAAAAGTGGTGGAGCTATAGCTCCACTCATCCATACATTTCCATGACATAGTGCTTTATTGCCTTTCTAAGTGCTGGGATAACTATATGTTTTATGACGTAGTATTAGTGTGTTTGTATATGGTAAATTGCTTTTGGGACTATTTCTGTATCTGGTGTAACAGTTCCTCTGATTTGTGGTGTCCTGTAGTATTTTGATGTTTTGTATTAATATTTTATGTAATGTAGTTTGCTTGTTGTGTGGTGCAGTGTACGAGTATATACCACCTGAAGATGACCCAAAAATAGGGTCAGAGCATGTAGTGGGTAAGAATAACAACATTATTAATACTAGATGGTTGTGTTAATGGTATTATAAGAATTATACATGACAGAAAGTCACCATAAAATAAATTGATGTCTTTTCCACTTGTCAGCATCACAGTTGGTATATCTTTTTTGTTCATCTGTAGCAGTTACAGTTAGATCATGCCCAGATATAACCCAGATCTCATGTCCTCACCAAGCTGTCTCCAGTTGTATGTACCTCATGCGTCCAAGACCTTCCTTCATTCTACTTTTCAGTCTGTCTTGTCTCAACTCCACCATGTGTCTCACTCCACAGCCCATCCCCTCTCTCCAAGATGGGCTCCAGGCCTGCATGTTCTTTCACATTGTGTGGCAGCCCACAATTGGATGGTGACTGGCCAGAAAAGAATAAAAGAGAGATCTGTAGAGCCTCATCCTGCCCTATCACAGCTGAGACAGCTCAGAGTTCGTAAACATCTCACTTCATTGTGGGAGTGTGTGTGGTAGATGGAACACATGGATATCACAAAATAAAAAGGTCATGGTGACAAAATTAAAAAAAAGAAACACTGGAATTATTTCACAGACAGCTTTAAAGCCGAATCATTCATAAATATCCTTTCTTCCGCATTTATTTATAAAACCATAATTAAATAATTTCTTAAACAATCCCAAAACTGTAACATAGTTGTATAAGGGTGAGTCTGGAAGCAACCACAACTAATTTTTTTTTATTAAATAATACAATTATAGTGAGTATGAACAGTAGCATAATTTTTCCATATAGCCCCCGTCCTTTTCAACACACTTAGTGTAGGGGTCTGCCGACTTATGTATGCCCTCAGTAAAATGTTTTTGGTTGAGTAGAAAGCCATACATGCACTACAGTTCTAACTTCTTGGTCACTGGTGAAATAGCAGTCTCTCAAGGTGTCTTTGAGTGCACCAAATAGGTAGTAGCCAGGAGCAGCCAGATCAGAACTATATGGAGGATGCTTCACCACCTCAAAGTTCAGTAGGTGTGGGGAGCAGTGTGAGGATGGGCATATAGTTCAGTCTTACAGCACTTTTGACAGTAGTCCTTGACATTTAATTTGAATACCTGGTTTAAGTTGATCCTGAAGCATTTTTCTATAATGGATACTGTTTACTGTTGTGCCTCTCTCTTGGTAATGTTAAAAAATTAGCCCTTCTGCATACCAAAAAAAGTGTTAACATCAGTTATCCCATTGATGATTGAATTTTTTTATTTTTTTTTTTTACTGACAATGTTTCTGTTCTGTACTCTGGCATTTGCTTTCTGGAAAATGGTGGTGGATCCATGTCTCCTCCCCAGCGAATGCACGTCTCAAAAAAGTGTCACCTTCATTATAATAGTGGTTCAGTAGAGTTTGGCAGATTGTCAAATGGTTTCACTTGTCCTCACACGTGAATTGTTCTGGAACCCATCTTGCACAAACTTTATGAAAGCCAAGTCAGTCTTGGATACTTCCATCAGTAGAACCATGAATAATGCACAGATGATGCACCATTTGATTGATGGGCACTCATCGATTACCCAGAATCATGACATGGACTTATTCATTGTTTTCCTCTGTAGTGGGTATGGATGGATGTGCTGATCATTATTTATCAGTGAAATTTGTGCAACCATTCCTGAACATGGATATTCATTCGTACACACTTCATTGTGGTAAAGCATTAACTCAGCAAAGTTGGCCCAGAAACTGACTAGTGAGTAACACCAGTGCAAATAAGTAATAACGCCAGCCCCATTAAATGTGTCTGTATCTCTCATCTGACATTTTTCTTTTTGCCTGACTTGTATTCCAGTTCTATAAACCATATGTCCAATTTTATTTCAAGTCCAGTCCCCCACACTGTGTGGCCTCAGGTGGTCCTACTATGTGCATCCTTCTGGAATTGATGCTCAGAAACGATGCAGAAGAGAGTGATGTTACAATAAATTGATTAATCTCCTTTTCCACATGTCAGCAGCTCAATTAGGTACTCTGTCCATCTGTAGCAACTATATTTAGACCACCCAGGCAAACCCCAGACTATGGGTCCTATCCAAGCTCTCTCCAGGTGGCTACAGCTCACAAACCCAGTCCCAAAACTTTCCTCCTATTTCTTTTTCTTTTTTATTATTAT